CAGGGTTAAGTGGTTCCAAATGCTTGGCTCATCTCTCTGGTTTTCCATCTTCTGCTACGTCTTGGCTTAGATTGTCTATTTAGCTTTATTTTTAGCTTTATGATACCTTCAACACTTTTTATATTTTGACTTTTTTTTTTTTTTTTTGAGATGGAGTTTCGCTCTTGTTGCCCAGGCTGGAGTGCAATGGCGTGATCTTGGCTCATCGCAACCTCCGCCTCCTGGGTTCAATGTTTCACTAACTCTCTCCTTTATCCAATTTTAATTTTTTCTTTGTTTGCTTCTTATAAACAATTTTGTGTAAATGTATAAATGTGATCATAACTGCTTATTTTTTAAGTGAAACCTTTTTTTTTTTTTAAATTTTGGTTACTCCCCACCTCTCTCAATCAATCCCACGCCCATTCCTACCAGGCGACTCATGTCATTATAATTGTTTGCGACCTCTGTTTCTCTCCATGCTTCTATAATCACATACAGAAAAAAAACCTGTAAAGACATACATACATGCATTAGATAGGATGCTCTGCCATTGTTTTATAAAATTGAACTACATTATACCCACTCTTCAGCTTACCTTTTCTTGACTAAAAAATACGTCATGGAAACCTCTCCAATTCATTCTTCTGAATGGCTGAGTTGTAACTCGTGATATATAATCATTTATTCAATCATTTATCTGTAGATGGGCATTTACAATTTCCAGTTTCTTTTATCCCCCACTATGAACAATGCTGCAATAAACGTCCTTGTATATATCCTTATATACTAACACTAATGCCTTTCTTCTCATGGAATAGATTCCCAAGGGAAGAAGATATGCGGGGCATATTTTTAAAAACTTTATTGTAAGTACATTTTAAAATCTTTATTGAAGTTTAACATTCTTTTAGAACATACCATAAAAATCATATAGTAATATAGCTTATTTTTCACAAAGTGAATTGTCTTTGTGACCAGCACCCAGATCAAAAATAGAAAATTACCAATCTCAGAAGTTCCTTTCATGCCACCTTCCAGTCACTAACTCCCCTGTAAAGTGCGCATTGTGTGGACTTCTAAGACTCTCTCTCTATATATATGAACAGACACTTTTTAAAAGAAGACATTTATGCAGCCAACAGACACATGAAAAAATGCTCATCATCACTGGCCATCAGAGAAATGCAAATCAAAACCACAATGAGATACCATCGCACACCAGTTAGAATGGCAAATGGAATACTATGCAACCATAAAAAAGGATGAGTTCATGTCCTTTGTAGGGACATGGATGCAGCTGGAAACCATCATTCTCAGCAAACTATCGCAAGAACAGAAAACCAAATACCGCATGTTCTCACTCATAGGTGGGAATTGAACAATGAGAACATTTGGACACAGGAAGGGGAACATCACACACCAGGGCCTGTCATGGGATGGAGGGAGGGAGCAGGGATAGCATTAGGAGATATACCTAATGTAAATGACAAGTTAATGGGTGTAGCACACCAACATGGCACAAGTATACATATGTAACAAACCTGCACTTGGTGCACATGTACCCTAGAACTTAAAGTATAATAAAAAATAAACTTAAAAAAAGAGCCCTTTATATGTATGTTGACTCTTTTCATCTACATTGCAAATATTTTCCCCAAATCTATTGTTTGTATATTGGCTTTTTAAATGGTATATTTTGCCATACAAACTTGCTAGATTGTCAAATATGTTTGTCTTTTGTTTTACAGCTTCAAAATTTCCTGACTTAATTAAGGCTTTTATTGGCCTTAGCCAGTCAGAAATGTTGTAGCTGTTTGGGGTTTAATTTTAGGTTCCGTTTCTAGTTTCTTTACAAGCTGTCTAGTTGAACTTACCCATTCCCATAGCTTTAAATCTCCTGCATGTGCTCATGATGTCCACATGTACATCTCCAGCCCAGCCCTCTCCTTTGAGCTGCAGTAATATGAATCTCACTGCCTACCATCTGTGAGGGGTATGCCAGGTCCTGGGGGAGACAGTGGTATGTGGTCCCTACCCTCAGAACTCACTAGAGGAAGTAGGTACTGTGTGTTAAATTGAAGGGATGCCTGGGAGACTTGATATATTGCACATTTCATATTGCTGTAAGGGAAAGGCAACAAACGGTCAGTTCTGTGATATATGTAGAACTACTACAAATCTATTAGAAATTGTCAAACAACTCAACAGAAAAATAAGCAAAAGAAATAAAAAGACAATTCTCAGAAAAGGAAACCTGAATCGACAATAAACATATAAGATACTCAAAAAATAAAATGAGAAAACAAAATGAGAAAAAATAAAATGCAATATTGTTTAAACCCTCAAATTGGCAAAACTTTAAAAGCCTGACCGTGTATCAAGTGGGGTGAAAATATTAGGAAAAGAAAACTCTACTGCTGGCCAAAGTATTCAACAGCACAACTGCCCTGGAGGGCGGTCTGGCAAATATCTAATAGTATTGAAGATGCACCTACCCTTTGACTTAGCAGTTCTGCTCCTCAGTAGACCTGTAACAGTGCTTCTAAATCTAAATCTTTCATGTACAAATCACCAGGGGAGGTCTTGTTAAAACACAGATTCTCCTTCAGTAGGCCTGGGGAAGAACCTGCGATTCTTAATTTCTAACAAGCTCCCAGGTGGTATCATTGCTGTTGGTCTAGGGCCACACTTAAAGTACCAAGGCCCAAGGGAAACTCTTGAACCTAAACTCAAGGGGCATACACAAAGATGTTCATTAGAGCCGCTGATGTATTGATGATCACCTGAAAACTAGGGGTATGTGCAGCTAAATTTGTATGGTTGAATGCAAGAGGTAAAGGAACTGGAGATACACATACCAACCTAGATCAAAAAACATTGTTGAGTGGGGGAAAACCATGATGTAGGAAGGATGCACAGAAAGTGATAACATTCACATTTTAAAATAATACCGTACTTTTTTGATACATATCAAAAATATATATCAAAAGTAAAATAAACTTGCATGGGGATGATAAACATCAAATACACAATAGTTATTAGTTGCACAAGGGAGGGGAAGGAGAACAGGGAGGGTATATGGGTGTTCAGTTGCATTGGTAATGCTTTAGTTATTAAACTGGGTAATCAGTACACCTAGTTTAATACAGCTGTGTCATATTTTCTATTTTTTTGTACATCTGAAATATCTAATTAAATAACTAAGACAAGTAATAGCCTCAAGTTTTAAGGTGAGGAAACTGAGGCTCAAGAACTTAACTTGCTGTGCCAAACTTCAGATCTAGGCTATACTTTTTCCACATTATTGTGCTGCTTTGAATTAACAAAACAAAACAAACATGGATTTACCATGTCAAAGGCAAGACTATATTCCTGGAGGTTGGTCTCCATAAAGACAGAATCAAACTGCACTCCCAAGTGTTTGCTTAGGTACATGACAACCACTGCAAATCACAGATTTTGAGCTCTAATAACTACAGCTCAAAGCCCAACGCCTAAAAATAATTGCTTTGCTTTTGGACATGGCACAAAATATTTTTCTAGCAGATAAAATATGGCCATTAAAAGAAGACTTTTACTCAAGAAAAATGAAAATAAACCACAACTCCAAAATAAATGAAAGCAAACCCAAATGTGAGTTTAACAAGCCTCAGAGTCCCTCTTAAGATTGTTTCCTGGTCTTCCAATGGCATTGAAGCAAAACTAGGGGGTGGAATGGGAAGAGCAGAGAGGTTTTTTGGTAAAAATCTTTTAAAAACTTAAATTTTTGTTTTGTTTTGTAGAGACAGAGTCTCACTATGTTGCTCAGGCTAGTCTTGAACTCTTGGGCTCAAGCAATTCTACTGTCTCAGCCTTCCAAAGTGCTGGGATGAGAGGCATCAATCACCAGCCCAGCCTTGTAAACGTTTTTGTAAAGGTAGTACGCTGAGCTGCCAGTGGTAAAGACTTCAAAATAAAAGGTGTTAGAAGAAGGAAGGAGCCAAGGCTTTTCCACACACCCACCTTGCCACCCTGCATGTGGCCTGCCGGGTCCTGGCCTCTCCAAACCTTCTTCCCTCACTCTCTCCTGCCCAATTTCTCTTTCCTGCTGTTAGAACCTGGTTCTGCCTCTGTTCTGCCCAAAGTCTCTTGGAAATATGTTAATGGCAGGGAGACAGTACTAAAGGGCATAAGTCTTAGTATCAGAAAAACCTGGATTTAAAATCCTACGACACTACTGAGCAACTCACTCAACCTGAGACAGTCTATCTAGACCAGTGCTGTCCAACAGAACTTGGTGTGGTGACGGACATGTTCTCTACACCGTCTGGTATGACAGCCACTAGCTACATGTGACTGTTGAGCAGTTGAAGTGAAGCTAGCATGACTGAGAAACTGAATTTTTGATTGTACTTCATTTTAATTAACTTAAATAGCCATGTGACTAATGGCAACCAAATTGGACGGAGCAAGTCAAAAAATGGAGAATGCCCCCTCACACAGAAGATCAGCAGTGATAACAGATGTGAAATGCCCCAATATGGTCTACTATTAAACTGTATCCTGCCTTGAAAGACTTTCCGAGTATTGAAATGACAACCCTCAGGCACTTAATGTACTGACTTGGCTGGTCTTTGTGAGTATGCCTGCACAGGCCGATTCAGCCACAGAAGCACTAACACTGGGGCTACACCTAGGTACAGACACACAACTCTCACTTTTTAATTACCGCCTGAGGTAGCACCTGATACAATCTGGTGTAAAGGAGTTTGCTTCTTTTCCTTTTGGTTTATGTCTTCACCATGTTAATTAAACAAAATAACCACATTTTCAGAAACCTACATTTTAAATTAAATTCTTGTGACACTCACTATCTGAAGTTTCCTTAATGTTTCCAAATAAAAAACGTTTCTCATTTTCTTCAGTTAAACTAATTGTATCATTATGTACCAACTGCTGTAAACTAGAGAGACAACCTGTCTGCACAGGTTAAAAACACGTAAAGACTTACCCATACATAGAAACACAAATCAAGCAGCTTTTGTTTACAGTATTTATTATAGTAAAGGTTACTGTTGTAAAACATTAGTGACTTTGGTCCATATCTTATTTTCCATTTGTCTTTAAAACATTTTACATTATTTGCATCATACATTGTAATTTTTATGACTATACATAATTGGTTTTTTTCCTGACCCTTGGAATGTTACAGTTTCATGTAACTTTTTAAAAAATAAAAACATTGCAGACTAAATGTACTGATAAGTACATACTGAACAATTTAATTACCACAGTAATTAAAAAGTCCTGATCTTTACTTCTTAAGATTAAGATTCATTAACTTGCAATCTCTGGGATTTCTCTATTATCCACAATGAGAGTATGAATAATCCCTTCTTTCCGCTTCCCACTACTGACAGCCTTTATGTAACAGTCGTGGTTCCCGAGACTGAAGTGAGTTTCAGTCCCATCATCTACAAACTCACCCTGGATCAACAAAAGAAGAAGGAATTAGTGGTGCACAAACATTTCTCTTTGTCTAGAGCATTAATACCATCTAAAAGTACTAGTAGTACAATAAAATAATGTATTAAACAATAAGCTTTGAAAAACAAAGTCTAAAGCTTGTACTTAGATGCTTTTACATTTCTGTCATGAATTGAAAGTTTCCTTTTTATAACCCCTACAATCCTTAAGAATCTTAAATTCTTGGGGGAGGAATATAAACCTCATGGCTATGTGTCTATAACATATGTTTTCAAAAATAAAAATGATAAACATGACATTTATTAGTTATTTATAAATGCCTCAAGTGATCTACCTGCCTCAGCCTCCCAAAGTGCTGGGATTACAGGTGTGAGCCACGGCATCCAGCCAGGGATAGTGTTCTTAGCCACTCTGAAAATCTGATTCCTCTGGGTATAAGGTGGCTTACAATAAAATATACAGACAACAAAACCAAACACCACTAAATCTATACCTGTTCTGTTCAATACAGTAGCCACTGGCCACATGTGGCTATTGGGCACTTGAAATTGACTAGTCTGAAAATAGATACGCTGTTTAAATATAAAATAGACGCTAGATTTGAAACACCTAGTATGAAACAAAAAATATATAAAATAACTTTTCATACTGATTACATGTTAAATAATATTTTTGATATATTGATTTAAATTAAATATAGTATTAAAATTAACTTCATCTAAAATGTTTTCAAATGTGGATACTAGGTAAGTTAAAATTACACATGAAGGTCATATCTGTGCCTCATATGGTACTGTGATTGGGTAGCAGTGATCTAGAGTAAAAAGATTAGCACAGAGAAGGAAGGAAGGAAGAAGAGGCTTAGAGGATAAGAAATGATTTATGCTAGAAAGCAAAGAAACAGAAAATCAGATTTCAACCCTGGCTATGAGCTTCCTGGCAGCCAAAGTAGACAGAACAAGGCCCCCCAGTTAACAATACCAAGCCGAAGAAGGCACAGGACGCCTCAGGGAGAGAAGCCTTTTCCCAGCTCTGGGAAGGATGTGGCCAGTGGCTCCTTATGGGAGGTGTGCTGAATACCACAAGCACGTCCTTGGGTGCAGTGTGTTCCTGTCCCCATTTTTAATATTGAGCCTTGAAAAAAAGACTTCAGAGGAAAGGGCAAGGGTTAGGTAACATAATCTATATAACCAGCTTCTTGGCAATTGGACAAATATATAATTTTGGCACGATGCTTTGAGATAAAAAGGAGAAAATCAGCTGTAACTCACAGGCAACAGGATGAGTTTGTTGTGTGTACATACAGTACTGGGGAAGGCTGCCCAGATATGGAGCTGCCCAAATTGCCCTGCAAACTAGGTTGTAGTTACAATGAGAAAGCAACTGTGTTATAAAGAGCTATTTTCCAAACACATGTGGTTTCCTGTTAATTACTACAAAACAAAGATATGTGGATGAATATTATTTTCACTTTTTTACAACCACAACAACATTCTTTGTGTGTGTGTGTGACAGGGTCTTGCTCTTGCCACCCAGGCTGGAGTACAGGGGTACAATTGTAGTTCATTGCAGCCTTGAACTCCTGGGCTCCAGCAATCCTCCTGCCTCAGCCTCCTGAGCAGCAGGGACCAGGCACACACCAACATACACAGCTAACTTTAAAAAAAAAGTTTTGTGTAGAGATACAGTCTTGTCATGCTGCCCAGGGTGGTCATGAGCTCCTGGCCTCAAGTGATCCTCCCATCTCGGCCTCCCAAAGTTACAATTGCATTTTTTTTTTTTTTTTTTTTTTTTGAGACAGGGTCTCGCATTCTGTTACCGAGGCTGGAGTGCTGTGGTGCAACCTTGGCTCACTGCAGCCCCAACCTCCCTGGAATCAGGTAATTCTTCCACCTCAGCCTCCTGAGTAGCTGGGACTACAGGCATGCGCCACCATGCTCTACTAATTTTTGTATTTTTAGTAGAGAGGGGTTTCGCCATGTCACCCAGACTAGTCTCAAACTCCTAGGTTCAAGCAATCTGCCCGCCTCGGCCTCCCAAAGTGCTGGGATTACATGCATGAGTCACCTCGACCAGTACAACCACACTCTTAATACCATAAAACAGCGTTCTCTTTACATGTGCACTGGAGAATTTCTCGAGTGTGAGAGGAAATGAGATTCAAAAGTGCTGATTCTCTATCTAGAGAATTCCAGGCTAGGAAAAAAAGAACAGGAAGAACCACCAGGTATGGCATTGGGCACAGAGTAGGTATCTGATCTATGTTAGTGGTAACTGGAGTTTTTCCAAAGGGGGCCATAAAATACTGAAGCACTCTCCAAGCCTCTCTGCATAAAAGAAGTCTCTATCAGCAGATTTAGCCCAGAGAGCAGCTCAAGCACTCAATTTTGAGTGAGCCCAAATTAAATTCTTCAGGACTCAGAAACAGAAAAGCATTCATCTTTGTGACTTTTAAATTTCAATTTATTGATTAATTATTTTAGAGATGGGGTCTCACTACGTTGCTCAGGCTGGCCTAAAACTCCTAGACTCAGGGGTTCCTCTCACTTCAGCCTCCCAAGTAGGAGGCCACTACAGACCTGTGCTACCACGTGTGGCTTCATCTTTGTAATTTTTGATTTCTGGCTTTGTCACCTCCTCAGAAACAGCTATCAGACCAAGTAGGTTCTAGGTGGTCTTATGAATAAATTAATCCCAGACCTCCTTTCCTCCAACTACCAACAGCACCTTTTCTCACTGTCTTATACCTATACTATACAAATGAGATAAAAGCAACTACAACATGCAAAATGTGACCAGAGAAGACAGCTTCCCATTATCTCTAGCCCTGATGTTCACATCTGGAGCCAGCATGAAGGTGGGTCGCAGCGACAGCACTCCCTGCTTGGCCCGCAGATCCCATAAGACATGGGGCTTACCACCCAGTGATTTCAGCTCCTAGTCCCACACTTTGTTTCCCACTCTCTCCCCTGTGCGCACTACTACTGTTTCATTCCTCCTTGAAATTCACTCCTACATTCATCCCATCCACAGCCACAGTAATCCAAGCACCTGATAGCAAAAGCCAAACACACTGGAGTCTAGATGGGGATTTCCGTGTGCCTGGCCACAGTGACTGGGGTAGCCTCTTTCTCCCTGCATCGGCACTGCTGGTCTAAAATTCCACTCGTCCTCTGGGCTTTGTGAGAGTGCCCTTTCCTGTTCGTCTACCTTCGCGTCATCTGATACCGTATCAGTCATTTTACAAAAATCTCGCTTTCAGAAAAGAACGCTCTGCTTGAGTGTATGGTATAAAGCATTCCTAAAGTGTGTTCAGTGAACCAGCAGCACTAGCAGCACCCAGGGAAATGTTAGAATTAGCATTTTAACGAGATCCCAGGCAATTTCTATGCATGCAAGTTTGAGAAGCAGTGATACGTAACGCACCACTTCAAATGGATAAACACAAGAGGACACCAACCTTTGGGGATATAATTTTAACTAGGGGCTCTTTTTAGGTATTTTACTTGCTAGGTATTTTACTGGTATTTTACTTGCTATGCTAGAGCCTGGTCCAGGACAGGAAAGGGAGAGTACGAAGTTGGTGTCAGCTAAGAACATAAGTTGTTTCCAAACTCATGGCACCAGGCACTGTCTGGCAAAGGTTTTCAGAATCTGGAGTCAGGAGTACTTAATCCCTTTTTTGTTTTTATCAACAGGGCCTTGGTTCATTATAAAATCTCTATAATTAGGAAATGCAGCAACAATTCAATGGTAACTTAGATACATGGCACTTAGAGTCATCAAATAGTCAACTTACTGCTGTCTCCAGTTTTTTACCATTGCACCATACGTCCATAGTGTCTTTTTCTGTAAAAGTAGCATAAAAACTTTAAGTTATAATTCTGTGAATTAAAGATAAAGCTAACTTTTCCTATTTATTACTTTAGGAAAGGATTGATATACCAGATCTCTAAAACTCCATTAATATTCCAAAACCCAATACTTTTTCATGGCTTTCATGGCTTGGAGACTCTCCTAAAATTTGAAGAAGCTGTGTTTGTTCTTTGTTCATAAAACTATAATGAAACAAAACAATCTTTTAAGAGAAAGTTATGGTCCTAATACAAATTGATGAAGCCTTATGAAACAAAATAAATCCAAAAGGACCATCTTTAAAGGAGGATGCATACAGGCCGGGTGTGGTGGCTCATGCCTGTAATCCCAGCACTTTGGGAGGCTGAGGTGGGCGGATCACGAGGTCAGGAGATCAAGACCATCCTGGCTAACATGGTGAAACCTTGTCTCTACTAAAAATACAAAAAATTAGCCGGGCATGGTGGCGGGCGCCTGTAGTCCCAGCTACTTGGGAGGCTGAGAGGCAGGAGAATGGCGCGAACCTGGGAGGCGGAGCTTGCAGTGAGCCAAGATCACACCACTGCACTCCAGCCTGGGTGACAGAGCAAGACTCGGTCTCAAACAAACAAACAAAAAAGAAGGATGCATACAGATGATTGTGAGCAGGGACCTTTCCACACAAAATGTCCTTCAGTACTGACCAGATGACTCCCCTGCCTCCCACACTCACCCAACTGGATAATGGCACAGAGGGACCACCGAAAGCAGCTGCCACGGGGTTTATACAGGATAGACAGCAAGTCCACTTTAGAAATCTAGTCCAGCTTCTTACTAGGTAGTACAATAATGTCTATTTCTTTTCAGAGTGGTTTCACTTTAGAGAAAAATTACTGGATTACAAGTAAAAAATAGGTATAGCTGGTGGACTGCACACTAAGGAACAATATGGAACAAAATGCTGCCCCGACACACTTAAACGCATCAGTTAACTTGCCATAGCTCACCTTAGGGTGGGGGAGTCCCCAGAGCCCCTTGCGAACGTTAGTGTCCTGGGAGTATCAGGAGAGAAGACTGCACTAGTCAAGAAGCCGGAAGATGAGCTTTGGGTATTATAGCGAAGAAGAGAAGGAAGTGTGGCCTGTATGTGCACAAGGAGTCCGGGGGTCAGGTTTGAGGCACCAGTCCAGGGTCTGACTACCTGGCCATCTGCTCCAGGAGCACAGTCTAAAGGGGGTTCTTTCCCTCCCCACACCTTGAGATGGGAGCCTCACTTAGAGATGGGAGAAAAGCCTGTGAGGTGCGCTAGATGGAAAAAGAGAAAGCCAGAGGGGTCCAGGAGATATGGGCAGGGGTCACCTCAGTGGCAGCCTTAGTAGAAAGTCACTACAGTCACAGCTGCAGGTAAACTCAACTTGTCCCAAGACATGATCAGTGTGCACAGTGCTATGATAAACCACGATGGTGGTGGAAACTCGTATTTTACTTGCTATACTTACTGAACATGTGCAGGTACTCAGAGTTTCTACACTAGCGTATTAGCATGCCTCTGAAGAACACTACTAATCCAAAAGCCCTGAAAGTAAATGTATTAAATTTGACTACATAAAAGTAAAGAAAAGGCCGGGCGCAGTGGCTCATGCCTGTAATCCCAGCACTCTGGGAGGCCGAGGCGGGCAAATCACGAGGTCAGGAGTTTGAGACCAGTCTGGCCAACATGGTGAAACCCTGTCTCTACTAAAAATACAAACAATTAGCTGGGCATAGTGGTGGGCGCCTGTAATCCCAGCTACTCGGGAGGCTGAGGCAGGAGAATTGCTTGAACCCGGGAGGTGGAGGTTGCAGTGAGCCAACATTGCACCACTGCACTCCAGACCAGACTAGGCAACAGAGTGAGACCCTGTCTCAAAAAAAAAAAAAAAAAAAAAAAAAAAAAAGTAAAAAAGCCACAGCACAACTGAAGAAAAATGCACACACATTAGCCAAGTTATGCAATAAATGACAAACTTGGAAAAATATTTCAAACTCATGGCACGAACAAAGGACTAAACTTACTAATGTGAAGACTGTGAGAAATGAAGGAGAAAAAGACCAACAACCAAAAGAAAATAGGGCAAAGGGCATGAACAGGCATCATGAGAAAGGAAACACAAAAGAAACTTAAACCTAAGATGCTCAACCTCACTTTTGAAAAAGACAAATAAAAACAACCCTGAAATACCATTTCTTCTCCTAGCAGAATGCCAAAAAATCCAAAAGTTTGGCAACATGTTCTGCTGGAGAACCTGGGGGAAAATAGCTAATGGGGGTACAAAATGGTAAAAGTACTATAGAAGGCAAATGGGCAGAAATCGATTAAAATGACAAATACAATTATTCTTTGACCCAGAAGAAGTCCTACTTTCCTACTTCCAGAAATGTGTACTAATATACTATGTGTCCTGTATTCCAAGAGGCATGCAAACAAAGCTATTCATGCAGCATTGCTTTTAACAGCAAAAGATTAGAAACAGCTCAAGCGTTCATCAGTTGGGAATGAGCTAAATATTTACTATTGAAATTTACTCTGTAGCTACAAAAAAGCATGAAAAAGTTCTTTAGGTTCTGACATAAAAGGATCTTCAGAATGTACTAAGTGAATAAAGCAAGATGTTTTTATGTGATAAGAGATAATATGTGTATTTGCTTGAATCTGAATAAAGAAACACTAGAGTGACACTAAAAATGGTTATCTTGGGGGAAAATGGCAGATGGGAACAGGGATGGAAGCAAGACTTTTCACTGTGTCTTTTAAGAGCATTTTGATTTCTGAATCTTGAGTATGTAACCTATTCAAAACGATATGTTAATAAAAGGATATATCTGGCTGATAAAATGTCAAATCTATCATGACTCAGAGGTGGATTCAGTGATTCATGGGAGGTGCTGCTGGATGTTCGTCTTGAAGCATCTCCTCTTTACCTGCCTGCAGATTCCCTCAGCCACAAGAACAATAGCTAGGGACTTCCCAGGTGAGTCCTGAGCAGGTTATGTTCTGTAAATGCTACCAGAGAAGTGAAACTTTTCAGAACAGAAAGAGAATTTCCTTTCAACATGAAGTTTCATACGTACTTTCCCCCTGCCAGTTTTTTTTTCCTCCCATGATATTCAGTGGTGTGGAGACTACCAGAGCTAAGAATGCTAACCAACTCTGTTTTCATTGCCCTTATATGCCTCACATTTTTGGGGTGGTGAAAAAGAATGCACATGATCTTTGAGGTCAGGTCTCAGCATCACTTTTTACTAGCAGTACCCTTTGGCAAGTCACCACTACTCTGAGCTTCCATTTCCTCAGGGGCAAATGAAGATACCACTTTTCCCACAGGTTGTTATAAGGGTTAGGAATAATTTATATAAAGTGCCTAGTATAGTATCTGGCACATAATATGACCTCAGTAAATCATAATATTTTGTTATTCAAAGCTTTTTCGTGGCCTTGCTCTAATTTCTCAATATAAAATTTAGAAAGTCATATAATACTATCATTTGAAACTTGCCACATAATATATATAAGTGACTTTTACCAGGAGACCCTAGATAAGCCCATTCTTTGCCCATGAGTAGTAATAATAACCACAAATAATATTTTAAATTAATTATTATTATTATTTTTGAGACAGAGTCTTGCTTGATCACCTAGGCTGGCGTGCAGTGGCGCGATCTCGGCTCACTGCAACTTCCGCCTCCCAGGCTCAAGCAATACTCCTGCCTCAGCCTCCCAAGTAGCTGGGGTTACAGGTGTCCACCACCATGCCCAGCTAATTTTTGTATTTTTAGTAGAGACGGGGTTTCACCATGTTGGTCAGGCTGGTCTCAAACTCCTGACCTCAAGTGATCCACCTGCCTTGGCCTCCCAAAGTGCTGGGATTATAGGTGTAAGCTACCATGCCCAGCCAAATCATTATTAATTTTGAGGCAGAGTTTCACTCTGTCATCCAAGCTGGAATGCAGTGGTGCAATTTAGCTCACTGCAACCTTGAATCCCTGGGCTCAAGTGATCCTCTCACCTCAGCCTCCCAAGTACCTGGGACTACAGGCATGTGCTACGTGACTCAGCAAATATGTAAATATTTTGCAGAGATGAGGTCTCCCTATGTTGCCCAGGCTGGTCTCGAACTCCTGGGCTCAAGTGATCCTCCCACTTCAGCCTCCTAAAGTGCTGGGATTACAGGTGTGACCCACTGTACCTGGCTGACAAATAATATTTTTAAAGAATTCACAATGTGAGAACCACTGCTAAGTACTTTACATGTACTAAATCAATTAAGCTTCGCTCATACCACAACTCTGTGAAGGAGTTACCATTATTATCCCCATTTTTTTTGTTTTTTTGTTTTTTTTGAGACGGAGTCTCGCTCTGTCGCCCAGGCTGGAGTGCAGTGGTGTGATCTCTGCTCACTGCAAGCTCTGCCTCCTGGGCTCACGCCATTCTCCTGTCTCAGCCTCCCGAGTAACTGGGACTATAGGTGCCCACCACTGCGCCCGGCTAATTTTTTTGTATTTTTAGTAGAGACGGGGTTTCACCATGTTAGCCAGGATGGTCTCGATCTCCTGACCTTGTGATCCGCCCGCCTCGGCCTCCCAAAGTGCTGGGATTACAGGCATGAGCCGCCGTATTATCCCCATTTTACAGATGAGGAAACCAAGGCTCAGAGGTTAAGTAATTTGTCCATCGCACAGGTCTGATCTGGGAGCCTGCATTCTTCATAACTAATCTGTAAAATGTAGGCTGTAGTCAGCATAGTCCACAGTTTGATGGATCTTGGAAGTAGAGGTGCAAGCAATATCAATAACATAGGGAATTTTGCCTTTACCTCAGTAAACGACCCTGGTCCCTTGTCCCTTCCAAACAGCAAAAGGGACAAGTCTGGGCTGAACTCTGTCTCATTTCCAGGCTCATGAGGGATTGCAAATGGATAGGGAAGAGTAAAGGCAGACAAGGAGTAAAAGGAGAAAAATAGATTTTTTGAAAGACCGGAGATAATTCACAAGTAGATAAGCAGGCCCCTGGGCGTTTAAAAGAGAACTAACTGTATGCTAGGCATAGCTTAGGTAGTCTCTTCCATTTCTCCCAGGAAAAGTTAATATCAATTGTATTACAAGTTGGCGAAGGAGCTGATTAAGTACCTAAAATTAACTAAAGGCCTGGTTTCATCATCTGTTAAAGTCCCATATGTTCAAGAGTGTTGACACTAATCATAATCCTTTTAAAAACTAAAATTTCCATTATTAATGAGATCCAGTGGTTCTAAAACTTTATTGCAGATTGAGTAACTATATTCCTAAATATATCACTATGAAATTTGGAAATATAAGGGATAAGATGAGCTCCCAAAACCTTCTGGAAAGAAAAAAATGAGATTCAGATTGGCACAAAACTTCTCATTTCAAACAACAGAGAATAAAAGCTATTGGAATAAGGGTTTCAAAAATTCTGAGAGAAAATTAGTTTGAAATTAAAACTCTGTACTGAACAAAACTATCAATTTAGCATTAGGATCAAAGTTATGTTTATTTCTTAGACACCCTTTATCAGGAGATTACCTAAGGATATATTCCAGTAAACAAAGATGAAAGCAGGAGTTAAGGGGTTCAATAACTAGAAGAACAAAAGAGTTCCATGAAAGAAAGTCTAGGGTGGCTATGAAGCAGCAGACTTGGATATTTAGAACAGGAAGCCAACAGACTCCCAATATTGTTGTTAAGAATGAAAAGAAGGGTGGTCACAGCTGCTTATACCTGTAATCCCAGTACTTTTGGAGGCTGAGGCAGGAGGATCACTTGAGCCCAGGAGCTCAAGATCAGCCTGGGCAACATGGTGAGATCCTGTCTCTACAAAATTTTTTTTTAAAGTTAGCCTGGCATGGTGATGTGGACCTGTGGTCCCAGCTACTCGGGAGGCTGAGGCTGGAGGATCACCTGAGCCCAGGAAGACAAAGTTGAGCCATGTTCATGCACACCAATGCATTCCAGCCTGGGCGACAAAGTGAGACCCTGTCTCAAAAACATCAAAGAATGAAAAGAATTCCAAGCAATAGAGAACATGAGTAAAACTGCTAACAGACATAGGAATATGGGTAAAGAAAAGATATATATCTACTTTCCATAAGAAAAGAGAAACCCAAACAGGAAAGCCTAGAAAAACAAACAAACAAAACTCTTCAAAAAGTCCTAAACTTTGATAAGTTTTATCTGATGCAGTACTAAGCCTATTGTTATCTAGGAAAATATTGCTTTCTTACTGATAAATCCTAAATTTCCAACTGTCTTTAAGATATATTTATAAAGAGAAATACCAAATAATATCAAAACCTGCACCAATATTACTTTTTTTTTTTTTGAGACAGAGTCTTGCTTTGTCACCCAGACTGGAATGCAGTGGCACAATCTCGCTCACTGCAACCTCCACCTCCTGGATTCAAGTGATTCCCTTGCCTCAGCCTCCTGAGTAGCTGGGATTACAGGCATGTGCCACTATGTCCAGCTAATTTTTGTATTTTTAGTAGAGAGGGGGTTTCACCATGTTGACCAGGCTGGTCTCAAACTCCTGACCTCAGGTGATCCTCCCGCCTTGGCCTACCAAAGTGCTGGGATTACAAGCATGAGTCACCGCGCCTGGCAATATTACATTTTTTTAAAACCTAAACTTATAATCCTCAAATCCATCACCATAAAACCTGGCTTAAGATAGCTTACATATAAAATGGTGGATTAAATGAATGCTTCATTTACACAGGACACATTAGAAATACACCTGCTGGACAATATACACACCTGCTAGACAATCCCAAGCAGATGGGAAACAAAAAGATTTTTTAAAATGTTTTTAAACAAATGAAATACACCTGCACTTACACTCCCTCTCCTTTTCAAACCTCCATAGAAGGTCTGAATAGTTACAGGAATTAAACAGACATTATAAAAAAATAAGTTATGCAGAAACAGCACTAACTTACCCAAAACAATTCTAAAGTTCTCACCATCCATGTGTAATACCCAAGTATTGGTGGTTTTTGATCTGTTCTCCATATACTTCTTAAGACTCTTCCCATTAATTTCCAGAGTATATTCATAAGCAAAACCACTGATAGCATCTATATTTATGGTCGCTTTTGTCTTCGCAGCTCCAACACAGAATGTTTCTCTGCCCACTAATTTGAACATCCAATCTTTCCTTATCTCTTCCTACATAATAAAATAGAAAAATTTTAAACAGTCAAACGGAAGAAAAATTAATATTTAATTTTAGAAATAACGTAGAGTGAACAAAGGCAATGCCATTTAGATATAATTTTATTGCCAGGCATGGTGGCTCATGCCTGTAATCCCAGCAAGCTTTGGGAGGCTGAGGCGGGCGGATCACGAGGTCAGGCGTTTGAGACCAGCCTGGCCAACACAGTGAAACCCCGTCTCGACTAAAAATACAAAAAATTAGCCTGGCGTGGTGGCAGGTGCCTGTAATCCCAGCTTCTTGGGAGGCTGAGGCAGGAGAATCACTTAAACCCAGGAGGTGGGGCTTGCAGTGAGCCGAGACCACAGCACTGCACTCCAGCCTGGGTGACAGAGCGAGACTCCATCTCAAAAAAAAAAAAAAAAAAAAAAGGATATAATTTTATTAATTTATGACGCCAAGGTTTTAGAAAATAAAAGCACTTTAAGTTTAAATATTACATGTTGGCCGGGCGCAGTGGCTCAAGCCTGTAATCCCAGCACTTTGGGAGGCCGAGGTGGGCGGATCACGAGGTCAGGAGATCGAGACCATCCTGGCTAACACGGTGAAACCCCATCTCTACTAAAAAATACAAAAAAACTAGCCGGGTGAGGTGGCAGGCGCCTGTAGTCCCAGCTACTCAGGAGGCTGAGGCAGGAGAATGGCGCCAACCCGGGAGGCAGAGCTTGCAGTGAGCGGAGATCCGGCCACTGCACTCCAGCCTGGGTGACAGAGCAAGACTCCGTCTCAAAAATAAAATAAAATAAAATAAAAATAAATAAATAAAAAATATTACATGCTATATTCCATGAATTCTATAACTATTTACACAGCAAAATGATACAGATCAAAAACATGACTATAAGAAAAAAAAACCCCAAATTCACATATGAAGATGCTACTTTAACAAAATCAAGCTTCTCTATACATCATATTTTACAAAGTAACATATTTTCTTCCTACCTTTCCATCTACATATACTACTCGTTTGCCTGATGTAGTCCCATGTTCAAATTCAATCTTGTGGACTCCGTCACTTAAAGCAACATCCCAGACAGCTACGAGGTCTGTCATTTTTTCTAGACTGTAAGGAGGGCTAAAGGAATAAAATAAAGCAATTATACAGGGCCTAAATACTAATTAAATAACCAATTAATCCTTCCAAGATGAAAATATTAGATTAAAACCTCTAAAATGTCAAAATATTAAAGTGACAGTACCTAAGAAATTCTACTCACAGTACATGTAACTATTTTCTCCTTCTTATTCACTCTTCCTTTAAGATACAACTACTATATATGGGTACATAGTCCGATTACTTCTAAAAAAAGCTACCTGAATATTAATAGGATTAAGAAAGCATCAGTTTATCCTGGTTAGTATTTTAGGTTAGGCTACAGTACAGTGCATGGAAAGGCCAGTAAAAAGTCTTTACTCTTCCCCCACCAGCTCCCATTTAAAAACCATGGTATTTAATTTTATTCTCCTTTTCAGGTCTAATCACTCTAAAACAAGAACTCTCCAAACCTCCCATACTTAAACTAATACTAGGGATTTGTTTTAACAAAAAGTTTCTAATTTATTATACTGAGACAGAAAAAAGTCATGGAAGAAATGTCCTATAATAAAGAAAAATAATTTTAATATGTTATGAAAAATATTCTTGGCATTATTACAGGAAACCTTATTTAAAAAAATAAAGGACTTTGGGCTGGGTGAGGGGCTCATGCCTGTAATCTCACACTTTGGGAAACCAAGGTGGGCAGATTACTTGAGCCCAGGAGTTCCAGACCAGCCTGGGCAACATGGTGAAACCCTGTCTCTACAAAAATATTAGTCACACAGGATGGCTAATGCCTGGAGTCCCAGCTACTTGGGATGCTGAGGCAAGAGAGTCATCTGAGACCAGGAGGTTGAGGCTGCAGTGAGCCATGATTGCACCACCATGTTTCAGCCCAGGTGAAAGACTGAGACTGTCTCAAAAATAAGAAGTAAATAAAGGATTGTGGTTTGTCGGAAATTTCTGGCATATACTTAAACATATATTTTTGAGTGTGAATGATATAATACATACATAATATCTAATTAATATTTTGATACTGGTGTATCTTTTTAGCTTTGACAGAAGTATCATTTATTACAGCAATAATGATCATAGCTAACAGCTATTAAGTATTACTATGTGCCAGTCACTGTTCTAAGAGCTTTAAATATGTTAACTCGCAGAATCACCATGAGATGGCTACTGTTAGTATCCTTATTTTACAGATGAGGCTCAGAGAGGCTAAGGGTTTACCTAAGGTTACAATGACATTAAGTGGCAGAGGCAGGATTTAAACCTAGGATTCTGGCTCCAAAGCCTGTTCTCTTAACTACATCTTCTTCTTTGTTCACCCTAATCCCCTTTGTATGCTCTAAATTGAAGATGGTAAATGGATTTTATATCATTTTGAAGTAGTTGCCAAGAACTCTGTGCTGAGAGAAAAGAGGAGATCTCATAACAAGGCTCTACCGAAATGGATGCCATGTTACTGGAGGCTACCCCCACGCCAGGTATTTACTACTCCTGCTCTAAATCATTTAAAAGTAGAACCATGTATTCTGAAATTTTACAGAATGTATTCTTAACAGAGTAGCTTGGATAAATCACTCTTTTGAATGATAACAATCTTGAAAATGTCAAAGGCTAGTTTACTGCAATATAAGACATTTACCTTTCATCATCTTCAAAGATAGGACTGTCATCTCCAGATGCCATGGTTGGCAAAAACAGTCTTTAATCCAATTAGCAGCCAGGAAAGAAAAAAGCAGAATTGCAGCAAAGAGAGACTGAAAGCAACAATGATGACATCTACAAAGGGTTTTTCTAATTTTGCAATCCATTTATTAAATTACATGGAGTTTCCGATGAAACAGCTTTCACATAAAATAGAACTGCAATCTTTACTTTTCAGAGAAAGATGTTACATCATGCAAATCAGTCATATTTCTCCCTGTTATGGATTTATAATTTCTTAAAGGTATACTTTATCAAAACTAAAGAACAAACTCTCATTTATTGCACATCAGAGCTGCAAGAGACCTAAGAGATCCTCTGGGTCCTATGCTTCTCAAATTGAAGCACAAGAAGCCCCAAGGCTATGAGTCAGGGAATACATCAAACTCCAGGATAAACACAATGCATCTTCTGGGAGCATCAGTGTTAAAGTGGTAACTAATTTAAAATGTAATCTTTATTTTAGAAGGCTACACTATGGTGGAACATAATTTTTAAAATCTTTGTTTAGATAACTTCAAAGAACTGATGAGTTTGCAAGAAGCAGACAGGGATATGCTGGTCTGCTTTCAAAGAGCAAACTTAATTGATCCCCCTACTTAAGCCCATTTAATTTACTAGTGCCAATGATGAATCGACAAAAGTTATGTGGCTGGCTCATGCAACTGGCACTATCCAACCCAGAACTAGAGTCCAGTACTATGCAATGAACTAAACAGTAACTGGGCCGCAGTGTTAATTAAGCTGTACTAAAATCAGAAATGCACACAAATTCACATGCATAGGAAACTCTCACATAGGAAACCCTCACATTTGAAGATTTGGGATTCACAGTTTCACTCCTGCCAAAGTACCCTAAATTCAACTATGTTTTGCTTCCAAGATCTACCCTAGTTTAGCCCTTTCCTTAATTAGCGCCTGTTTCCTATAGATGCTCAAGAATGCTCTCTCCTGGTTAAAAATAGGAGATTGCTAACCCTCTCTGGCTGGAAACAGCCAGAAGTCACAAATTATTAAAAAGTTTTTTGTTTGTTTTTGAGACAGAGCCTCACTCTGTCTCCCAGGCTGGAGTGCAGTGGCATGATCTCGGCTCACTGCAACTTTTGCCTCCTGGGTTCAAGCAGTTCTCATGTTTCAGCCTGTTGAGTAGCTGGGACTACAGGTACATGCCACCACATCTGGCTATTTTTTTGTATTTTTAGTAGAGATGGGGTTTTGCCATGTTGGTTAGGCTGGTCTCGAACTCCTGGTCTCAAGAGATCCACCCGTCTCAGCCTCCCAAAGTGCTGGGATTACAGGCATGAACCACCATACGCCCAGCCAAAAAGATATTAAAGAAGACATTAGCACTCATAAAAGCAATCCAATGGGCCAGAAAAGCTAAGGATTTTAGAATAAAAACTAGGTAAATATTTGTACCTAAAATAAATCCCTCTTTTTAAAAATTAGCACCACACAAATTTGTGAATTTTTCTACTCTTAAGGATTATCCCCTACGAAACCAGAGGGTATCCTTCAACAATAAGAACAAAAAGAATGCACAGCAATATAATAAGCCAGCCAGGCATGGTGGCATGCACCTGTAGTCCCAGCTACTGGGGAGGCTAAGGTGGGAGGATCGCTTGAGCCTAGGAGTTAGAGGCTCTGGTGATCATGCCACTACACTCCAGCCTGGATGACAGAGTGAGACCCTGTCTCAAAACAGATATCTCTATATATATGCTATATATAACATATATTTACTATATATACTATATATTATATATAATATAATATAGATAGATACTATATATACACATATATATACACACACACACATATATACATACACAATGTAATTATATGTACTCCAGCCTGGGTGACAGAATGAGACCCTGTCTCAAATCATATATATATATTTTATATAGATAGATAAGACAGTATAATTATAGGTACTCCAGCCTGTGTGACAGATATAGATAGATAAACAGACAGATAGATACAGATAGATAGATAGAGATATATATAGATATATGTATCTGTTTTGAGACAGGATCTCACTCTGTTGCCCAAGCTGGAGTACATATAAATAATATGTATATTTATATACATATTATATGTAGTATATATACATTATATAATATATACATATAATATATAAATATTATACATACATATAATATAAATAAAATAAGCCAAACAGCATAATATAAACTTCAATAAGGCATCCTTTGTAAATCAGAATGTATTTAGGGGTGTTATTCAAATTTTGCTCTACAATTTTCAGAGACTCCAGAAAGTTCAGTAATGTAGGCATTCAAACCTAAAATAATTGCTCTGTTTTCTATTATAAGGAATTCCAAATACTACTAAATCACACTAAGATACAACATCTTAATTATAATACCTTTTCATGGAGAAGTATAAAAGGCAATACCACCAATTATAAGAAAGATTAGAAATCATGATCACATTAAAACATTTTTTCTTCTCTAAACTTATGAACAATCATCCAGGCATTCAACAATTATTGAAGGACTACCTAAAATATAGCAATTTTTCATTCTCCAATAATTAAAAGTACACCTGATAGAAGAGAATTATAAACAAAGATAAAAGTAAGTACTGAAGCAATTATCTAGCAAATTTGAAGCATTCTAATTCTACTTATATAACTATATATCAAAATTATGTTTCTTCTTAAAGTTACAAATCAATATAAAATTCTGTTACTCTCTTTGCCTTTCTCTGACTAAATAAGAAAAATGCTGCTTTAATACAAAGTTAATAATATTTCAATTTTCTTGTTCATGCTATCCATTATTTTAAGCAAAACACTAAAAATATCTTTTTATAAATGGTTAATAATTATAAAATGTTTTTAAAATTACTCCTTGGAGTGTGCATGATGGTTTAGCCCTGTAATTCCAGCACTTTGGGAGGCTGAGACAGGAGAATCATTTGAAGCCAGGAACTCGAGACCAGCCTGGTCAACACAGTGAAACCAAAAAAAATTAGCTGGGCGTGGTGGCATGTGCCTGTAGTCCCAGCTACTCAGGAGGCTGAGGCGAGAGGATCGCTTGATTCCAGGAGTTTGAGACTGCAGTCAGCCATGACCATGCCACCGCACTCTAGCCTGGCCAACAGAGCAAGACGCTGTTCCAAAAGCAAAACAACAACAACAACAAAACAAACAAAAGACATTATTCTTTGGAACATTAAAAGTATATTCAGCTTATAAAAAGCTGCAATACTTCAAATTTTGTACAATTTTAAAAGGCAGAGATTAACTTTAAAAACTGCTTTCTATGCAAGGATTAAAGTGACCATTATCTTATACACAGCCTTAACCAAAATATGAGAGAGTCATACAATTTTCAGCACTGGAAAACAAAGAACAATAAAATCACCTGGTCTAGCCTCTTTCCTTCATTATGGGGAAATCAGTAACACACATCCCTCCAAGTGCCATCTCCACTGCCAGTCCTGGGTTCTTATTACCTATCCAACTTTCTAACAAAGCTGTAGAGGGTGCCAATAATGCACATGGAGTAAAGAAAACTTTTCAAATGATCTTACCGCAAACAGTAATTCCCATCAACAAATCCCATCTAATGTTTAAGAAAAATGTCCAAAATCAACTCTGCCTCCTGCTTTTGGGCTTCTCTCCTATCTCCTATTCCAGCAGTTTCACTAGTCTTATGACCTCTGTCACTTTATACATTCCATTCCAATCTCACCACTTTAAAATTTAATTGAAATTGCTCTTCTGGCTCAAAAACTGGAGAGCACACATAGAAAACACTCTTAATAGCCACAAATGCAACAGGTTAATAGACTGACATCTGTTTTTTGGCCCTTCATATCAGGGAAAATCATTAAAAACCACTAGTCAACTCATCAAATGCACATAAAAATATGCCCACTAGTGAGTCTTTAGGGAAACATGAAATAAAATAGAGATTTAGGCTAGATGTCTGAAAGGAAGTAAATACGAATAATTATTCTAAAACCTCAACAGGCACTAAAGCACAGAGATCAATGTTTACTTAAACAGACTTTAAGATACTTTGGACCATCAGCTGATTTTTCATTTTGAGAATATCCCTATACAAAAGTAAACTTACTTCCTCCATAACTGGTGATTCTCTGGATGGGAATACCAGCCTGAGCAAATGTAATTCACTAATTCAACAAATACGTAAATGCCCACCAAATGTTCTGAAAGCACTCCAAAGTCACATACAGATGGTGCCCGGCTTACAACGATTTGACTCAATGATCTTCTGACTTTAAGATGGTGCAGAAGAGATACGTGTTTGGTAGAAACCATACTTTGAGTACCCATACAAGCATTCATTTTCAGTACAGTACAAAAAGTTACATGAGACAGCCAACACTTCATTGTAACATAGGCTTTGTGTTAGATGATTTTGTCCAGCTGTGGGCTAAGGTAAGTATTCTGAACACACTCAAGGTAGGCAAGACTAAGATATGATGTTTGATAGGTTAGGTGGACTAAATGCATTTTCGACTTACAGTATTTTAAACTTGCAATGGGTTTACTGGGATATAACCCCATCACAAGTCAAGAAGCATCTGTACATGTTTTTGTTTTTGTTTTGAGACAGGGTCTTGTTCTGTTGCCCAGGCTGGAGTGCAGTCGATGGTGTACTAAATGCTCACTGTGGCCTCAACCTCCCAGGCCCAAAGGATCCTCCCATCTTAGCCTCCCAAGTAGCTGGGACTACAGGTACACACCACCACACCCAGCTCATTTTTGTATTTTTTGTAGATATGAGGTTTCACCATGTTACCCAGGCTGGTCTTGAATTCGTGGGCTCAAATAATCCACCTGACTTGGCCTCCCAAGATGCTGAGATTACAGTCACCGCACACGGTCGTACATGTCTTTTAAAATTTTCTGTGGGTTTGTATGATTTACAGCAGCTATGCTCTATTTGTTTTCTCAAGGGGAGATGTACCTTCACAACAAAAGTTTTCTTATGATAAATGTCC